GGTCAGGCACAATGTCCAGTCTATAGCAGCTTCTGGTAAATGCTACTTCCAATGTCATCTCCATCTTGGCTCTGTCACCAACCGAGTGACCTTGAAAGTCAGTAAACTCTCTGGTGCTCACTTTCTTCATCTGTAAAATGAAGGTGTTGAACTACATAATCTCTGAGAGCCCTTCTCATCTATAATGTTATATTTCTAAACCCATCCCCTATATCCTTTGGTTTCCCACCACATCACAATTTCGAGAAAGGAAAGCAGAAACTTTGTTGATCCCTACACTGTCAATTATGTTCCACGATCTTTTATGGAGCATCAACTCTGTATAAAGACCTGAGGACATGAAGCTTAATATGGTACTGCAACTGATCTCCAGAAGCTCATAGCTAAATGGTGTAATTCACTATAACACATATAGGAAGGGCTATGTTTGAGCTATGAACAAATGCTGTGGTAACACCTTGGACGATATGATCACAGAGTTCATAAAAGATTGTTTTAATTTAGCAAGTTAGGTAAAAAATCAGTTGAGCCATATGCTTGCCATTACCCCAACAATATAAGTAGTAAACTGGATTTTTCTCTTTTTGAACCTATGCTCTAGGTTTCACTTGGGTATAGCCTAACTCTCTAAGAAATGCAAATGGTGCTAAAACTCTTCCCTCCTGTTCTGAAGCATGGCTTTATTGGAAAAATCAGCTATAGAAGTTGTGCCTTAAACTATCTACTCTCCATGGACTCTCCTGAGAACAGCAAGTCCTCTTGCCAGCATTTGCCATGCAGATACCAGCCTGTGAGTTGAAAGTTTGTACAAAGTAATTTCCAGTGGAGGCAAAGTCATCAGATCCCCTGCGGGCCTAGTCAGCAGTATCTCTTTCAACTCACCCAGTCTCAGTGCTGCCCATGGTCCACAAAATAATTCATTCCCACCTGAGCTGCTGAGACCTAAAATTCCCCTATTCTACTTCAACTCTTTGCAAATTGGAACTCATGCTGGTTCCATTTGCTAATGGTGACCATGGCCAGTCCCTCCAAATTCCTCTGTTGAAGGACAAAGGCATAGCTATAAATTTCACCAACCCCTGGAGCTGTTTAGCGTTTTAGGACTCTGAAGCCTTTATTTCCACCCCACATAGAAGTTATTCTCTGCTATGAAATAGGAAGATTTCTTTGAAAGAAAGCATTTGATGACCTAGTTGGTAAAAGCAGAAATGATTAAGACTTGGGCAAATAATCCACATATTGCTATTACCTTAATGATTAAAACATGCAGCTCACTAATTTCATCTGACAGTGGGCCCTTTTGTGGGTAGACAACTCATATGTAACGTCTTACTGCAGCCGAAGAGACTTGTCCCATGCCAAGCCTGACTTCCCATTTCTTTTATTACTGAGAAGGCATTGGTACAATCCAAAATGATTAAAGCAATAGAGATTGAATTGCAGACAAAGAACATCGGACTGGATCGGGGATGGGAAAATAAATCTCCAAACAAGAACAAGACTCAAGGGACTAACAACCAAAACATTCAAGTTTCCTTTTTAAAAAATTTTTTTAAAAGCTGAAATATTCAACTTTCTAGTTTATGCCACATCAGAAAAAAAGAGTTTACGTAATCTATTAATACAGGAATGCTTTGTCTTTGGGAGGAGTTTTTCCAGGGTCCCTAAAAGAAAATTCTTAACATTTTATATATATATATATATATATATATATATATATATAGAGAGAGAGAGAGAGAGAGAGAGAGAGAGAGAGAGAGAGAGTACAAAATAAGTCAGAGGTGTAAGAAACTAATGAAACAAATTTCCTGGATCCAGTTCTCCTTGTCCGTAACTACTCCTTGTATGAAACTGGAGAAACTCTTGAACTTCATTATCGGTAACTTCATTATTAGCATAATGGCATCTAACCCATTTAATCATGAATCACAAGAGACCAGCAAAATTTATATGACACCCAAAAATTACAGAAAAATAAAAGTATCTTCAGATTTACTGCCTCCATATACTTAACCCATGAAAAAGGAAATTTTCTATTATAATTATTTCTTTGCACAGAACAAAAGCAAATAATTTGAACCTCCTTATCATTCAAAAAGTAATGAGTGTTTTCTGTTGCTAGTAGTCAACATTTTAAACATCCATCTTAGGCTGGGCGTGGTGGCTCATGCCTGTAATCCCAGCAATTTGGCAGGCTGAGGCAGGCAATGACTTGACGGCAGGAGTTCAAGACCAGCCTGGGCAACGCGGTGAAAATGTGTCTCTACTAAAAATACAAAAATTAGCCGGGCATGGTAGTGCACGTCTGTAGTCTTAGCTACTCCGGAGCCTGAGGCAGGAGAATTGCTTGAACTGGGGAGGTGGAGGTTGCAGTGAGCCGAGATAGCACCACTGCACTCCAGCCTGAGTGACAGAGCGGGACTCTGTCTCAAAAAGAAAAAATATATAAAATATATATAGAGAGAAATTAATATAATATATAAACATTTATATAGATATGAATTAATATACATTTATATATTATATTTATATAATATATACATTTTTATATATAATATATATATAAAATCACTTCACAGTCATCCAAGTTGAACCTTATTCTTTTTCTTCTTAAGTTTTAGCTAATCTATTAATGGAAACTGTATGCTTAAGTGACGATAGCTTCGCCTATCAAGGAGATATTCAGACCCTCTTTGTTCTGTATCTTTTTTCATATCCTACCCATTCCCAGGAAGCCTTCTTGATCTAACTTATGCTACAAGATCAGATGAGTGAGGAGCACAATTCTTAGTCCATGTTTTTGTGCTTCTTTGGTACAAAAGTGGTTCCTGTTGAGATAGATCATATTTTAACTGGGAAATTTAATTCTGGAATTTCACTGTTAGCCAGTTTTTTCCATAGGAAGATGATCAAGGCAAATGCTAAATGAATGTTCTCCTCTTTACTATAGGTGGGTTCTTCTTAAGTCAAAACAAATTTACAGCCAGGTGTGGTGGCTTACACCTGTAATCCTAACACTTTGGGAGGCCAAGAAGGATAGATCACTTGAGGTCAGGAGTTCGAGACCAGACTGGCTAACATGGCGAAACCCGTCTCTAATAAAAATACAAAAATTAGCCAGGTGTGGTGGTGCACGCCTATAGTTCCAGCTACTCAGGAGGCTGAGGCAGGAGAATTGCTTAAGCCCAGGAGGAGGAGGTTGCAGTGAGCCAAGATCGTACCACTGCCCTCCAGCCTGAGGGACAGAGTGAGATCCCATCTCAAGAACAAAACAAAACAAAACAAATTTATCTTCCATAATAAAATAGTGAAAGGAGCTGGGTGCGGTGGCTCACACCTGTAATCCCAGCACTTTGGGAAACCAGGGCAGGAGGATCACCTGAAGCAGGAGTTCGAGACCAGCCTGACCAACATGGTGAAACCTTATCTCTACTAAAAATACTAAAAATTAGCTGTATGTAGTGGTGGGCACCTGTAATCCCAGCTACTCGGGTGTTTGGGGCAGGAGAATCACTTGAACCTGAGAGACGGAGGTTGTAGTGAGCCGAGATCATGCCACTGCACTCCAGTCTGGGCGACAAGAGCTAGACTCCATCTCAAAAAAAAAAAAAGAAAAGTCAAAGGAAAACTCTTAAGGGGACTGTGTCTAAAGCAACCCACTCTACCTATATGTTGACAGAAGAGCTGTATTGCCTATTAAGATAAATTAAACAAATGGTGATGCCACAATTATTAATTTTTTATTTGTATAGATGGGGCCTATTTCTGGTTGATATTTCCTCAGGCTTGCTAGAGTCAGTGACAGGCTATTGAAGCCTAAGTGTAATGTTTAAGGCAAAATAATGGTATTTTAGATGAATTATTTTATTTAAATTCCTCCTTGTGACCTACTGGTTTTACAATGCATTTTTCATGCTTCAATATTAGAACTTTTAGTTTGGGGCTAACAGAAATAGTTCAGCTAATGAAAATAATGATTTTTTCATGCTGTACTACATGGTAATTTAAAGCATTTCAATTAAACAAACTGTCTCATTAGAGCTCCTTGATAATGTAGTTCCATTTGCTTTGATATGGTCAGAAATCCCAAGGATGCTTTTGGGATACACTCTAACTCTCATATGAACTTGCTTAAGAAGGTTACCATACACCAGACATTTTAGAGTACTCAAATGACCTACTTTAAAAACATTTGAAGCCATTTTACGGTGTGGACCCAGAACAAATTACCCTTATTTAATAAGTAGCTTCCAATTTGTGTTCCAAAAAGCATCTGAACTCTACCATTGAAGTTTATTTTTAAAGTTCCATTTTTCTCATAAGATTTGAAACCACGTTCATTCATGAAATTCTCATTCTGAGCTGGGTGAAGTGGCTCAAGCTTGTAATCTCAGCACTTTGGGATGCCGAGGCAGGTGGATCACCTGAGATCAGGAGTTCGAGATCAGCCTGGCCAACATGGAGAAACCCCACCTCTACAAAAATACAAAAATTCACGGGGTGTGGTGGCGCGTGCCTGTAATCCCAGCAACTCGGGATGCTGAGGCCAGAGAATTGCTTGAATCTCAGAGGCGGAGGTTACAGTGAGCTGAGATCACCGCTGCACTCCAGCCTGGGCGACAGAGTGAGACTCCATCTCAAAACAAAATAAAATAACAACTGCAAAAAATTAATTCTGTTACTACTTTGTTACTTTGTTTTTCACAGATTAATCTTATAATGAATATTATAATTTTAAAATTCACTATTTTGTATCATATTACCTATCATCTTTTCCTCAAAGATTTTAGACTCACTTGTACACTTCTCTGGAATACAAAAAACTAAGTACATAAATAAAATTGGCTGAGCACGGTGACTCATGCCTGTAATCCCAGCACTTTGGGAGGCCAAGGTGGGCAGATCACCTGAGGTCGGGAGTTCAAGACCAGCCTGCCCAACATGATAAAACCTCATCTTTACTAAAAATATAAAAATTATCCAGTTATGGAGGCACACACCTGTAATCCCAGCTACTTGGGAGGTTGAGACAGGAGGATCACTTGAACTTAGGAGACGGAGGTTGCAGTGAGCCAAGATAGTGCCATTGCACTCCAGCCTGGGTGACAAAGCAAAACATCTCAAAAAATAACCACAACTGTGAAAGGATCACTGAGCCACTTGGGATTAATTATATATCATTACTTTAACTTGAATATGTAACTGCCTTCACATAAGCTAAAGGTTCAAAAAGATAAGACATTCTTTTAATTTTACTATAATTGAAACCAGATGCCAGGCACAGTGGCTCACACCTATAATCCCAACACTTTGAGAGGCTGAGGCAGGCAGATCACCTGCAGTCAGGAGTTTGAGACCAGCCTGCCCAACATGGTGAAATCCTGTCTCATCTAAAAATACAAACATTAGTCAGGTGCAATGGTGAGCACCTGTAATCTCAGCTACTCAGGAGACTGAGGCAGGAGAATGGCTTGAACCAGGCAGAGGTTGCAGTGAGCTGATATCACAGCACTGCATGCCAGCCTGGGTGAGACACAGCAAGACTTCATCTCAAAAATAAAAAGGAAAACAGATGAAAAAATAAATTTTTCATATGCCTAACATAAGTAAGAAGTGAGGCACTTGAAAATTTATTTTATGTTACCAAATAGCCTCTTGAATTTAAATACCTGTTAATTTAACTTAAATATCAGACAAACCAGTCGCTGAACTTAACAAAATGGCACAAAGGTCAGCTGACTGGATATCAGCTAGTTTTTTTGGCTATTGTATGCTATAGCAATAAGAGTATCAATTTTGATATCTCAATTCAAACGCAATTGAACTTGTAAAAAAAATGAGAGTTTTATGCATCTAGACCTGTTAAAAACAGCACCATCTTTTACCTTGATTGCAACGCCTTTTTTTTTTTTATTTTATTTTTTTTTTATTGAGGGTAAGTAATGCTAGCTGCTGTAACAGATCCCAAGGTCTAACATGGCTTAACACAATCAAAGTTTCTCTCTTTACACAATGTCCAATGTGGTCATTTCATCTTGTGACTTCAAAATAAGTGGAGTCTCAGAGTCCTCTCTGGATGCAATAGCCAGGGGATGGACATCAGAGAGAGTATAAAAACACTGCAAGAGTCTTTTGGGTTTGTTGAGGGGTGGGGGAAGAATAGGAACTGGGCTCAGAAGTATTGTACATCACTTCTACTCACATTCCAGTGGCCAGAATTCAGTTACATGGTCACAACTGAGTAGAGTGGAAGCTAGAAAATGCAGTCTGTCTGTCAGAAAGTAAGAAAATTTGGTGGACACATAGCAGTCTTGCCATAAAAGTCTCTGTAGCCTCAGCAGGGACTTGCAATAAGGAATATAATCTCACAGTTGCTCTTATAACTAGAGAGATTATCATCTGGTTTTTAGGTGGAATAACAAACATAAAGCTATAAAGTAGGCCGGGCACGGTGGCTCACGTCTGTAATCCCAGCACTTTGGGAGGCCAAGGTGAGCTGATCACAAGGTCAAGAGTTTGAGATCAGCCTGACCAACATGGTGAAACCCTGTCTCTACTAAAAATACAAAAAGTAGCCAGGCATGGTGGTGCACACCTGTAATCCCAGCTACCTGGAAGGCTGAGGCAGGAGAATCACTTGAACCCAGGAGGTGGAGGTTGCAGTGAGCCAAGATCACGTCACTGCACTCCAGCCTGGGTGATAGAGTGAGACTCCATCTCAAAAAAAAAGGTCTATAAAAGAATGATACTAGTATAACTAAAAGGTATTTAAAAATCTGTAACCATCTATGTCACTTGTTTAATCATCGGTGTCTCAGGTGCCTCTTCTAGGCACATAGATTGAGTTTTTCCCATCCAATTATCTGAATCTCTGAGTTCTGAAAGCACTTTTCTTTTCCATTCACTTGACTATCAAAAATGGCAGACACAGTAACTTTAACTTAACTTTAATCCTGAAAGCTGTAGTGAATCATATTAAACATAACCCAAATGTTTTTTTTTTTCCTTATTCTTTTCTTCCTGGTGTGTGTGTGACCCAAACCAGAGTTTTCAAAGGCATACTGCATGAATCAGTTTAAAACTGATGTTATGGAGTTTGGGGGTTTTTTTTGTTTGTTTTTACTGTGAATTTTTGAACACTTAAACCCAGACAATGGCTCAACAGAATATCCAGTAGTCTCTGAATTTATATTTCATTCAGTTTAAGTTCCTGGCAGTGGTCTGATTTCATGAGCCCTTGTTAATTACCAAGGTTTCCAAACTTCCTAGAAGGACCTCTAATGTAAAAGGCTATCCATCCATTGTATAACTGGTCTCTGAAGCAGAAATTCAGCATAAAATTGAGGCAAGTACCCAGAAAGCTCAGGTAAAATCTCACCACTTGACTTGTATCTTCTTTTAAACATCACAACCCCAGAGCAAAACAGCAAATAATTGATAGGTGATGTAGAGAAGAGTAACTGATAGGATTGAAACCCCGCAGGGACTGACCTAGAAAGAGAGATAAAAGGAACTGAGAAAGCCTGGTTGCTCCATCTTCACGCAATCCTGGGAGGTAGATGTTTCAGAGATCTGGCTTTGTCTAATCCCTCAGTGACTTCAAACATTTCTATTTTGGTGGCTCTTCCTCTTTTGAATGGGGATAATATAAAACAGGTTAAATTTCCTCTGGGCTGAAGGTGACATTCACAAGGCATCTATCCAGTCCGTTTCCTGTGTAGAAGGCAACCTTCCACTGAGGCCTTCCTGAGAGACTCCTCTGAGATCCATTTCAGGCAGTCCTCAATTGACATCCTGCCTGCTTTTCCACAAACCCAAATGAAAGTTACTTAACCTCACTAGCCTCAGTTTCTCTTCTGCAAACTGGGAGTTGAAAATACCCACCGCCCAGGTTTGCATGAGAGTTAAATAAATTGTTTAAAGTCACTTAACAGAGGGCTGTACAAATAAAAAGAACTCAAGCGGCTACTGTTATCTTTAAAAAGAAAGGTTAAACCAGCTCCCGATGACTTTCTGCATTATCTAACAATCCTTCGAGTTGGTAAAATATTATTTGAAGCCCAAAACTCCCTGTATTTAATTTTATCCTAATTCAATTCATTTTGGTTACATTTTAGAGAATCACATAATATCTTCTATGTGGTTTCCTTTATTTGTTCTTGAAAACTTTGAAGATCCAGAAAAATGGTACTGTTGAAACAAATGATGCCACCTGTACCGAGTTCCTCCACACAGGTGCTCAGTAGGGATTGAAGGTGAAGTAATGCTTAACTTTCTATGGCAGGGATGGCAAGTGTGCGGGAGCTGCAATACCCAGCTCACCTCCAAAACATACATCTATGTCTACTAATGAACATCTACATCTGCTAAGAGGTCGTCAATCTCTTTTCCACTGAGTCCATATTTTTCCACAAAGTGGAAAATATTTCAGAAATACTTTGGACATTCTCTGCTGATCCATGAGTCACTACTAATCTATTACCACTCCTGGTCTATAGCATAAATGGAAGCATATTTAAAACTGGAAGCAAACTTTGAAGAACAAACTAATTTTAACTATTTGTTTTGGTTTTCTGTGTCTAGAAATGGAAAAAAAAATTACTAAAGCCAATTCTTGATCGTCTGTGATCTTGGAGAGTGTGGTTTAGCATGACTGAATCAAATTAATAAACCTTTGTTAGAAATGAGACTTAAAAGAATGTCTAAATATAAAAATCATAGGACTACAAAGAGCTTACATTTCATTAAGAAATAAAATGGGGAAAAAAATCAGTGGTAGGCAACCACAAACAAACCACCTCTTTTGCCAGAGCTGTTATTAACAAGTAACTAAGTCTGCAGATACTATTTTCACCTACTCTGTCCTTCACTGCATGTAGACTGGTAGATGGGTTCATGGGATCTACAGTGGGCAAGACACAAAAAGTACAGAGACAACTGAGATGGAAAACCACAGACATGTTGATCAGCTCTTGAATAATAAATATCTGCAAGACTATGAAATTGTTGGTGATTTATATATGAAAACAGTCTTGGTGCTAGTGAGAGAGAAAAGTTTAAGTAGCGGTATGAGAAGCTTACAGGAAAAAGCTAAAAATATTTCAAAGGAAAATCTGTGGGTTAGAAAAAAATATATTTCCATAAGCAATTTTATTTATCTCCTGGGTAAAAAACAAGATCATCTCTGCCTACGCTTGGTAAAGATGCTATGTATTTGGCTGCTACCATTTGAGAGAAGTAGAAGAGCATCGCAGTGTTCAGACTCCAGAGCCAGACTGTCTGGGTTCAATCCCAGTTCTGGAACTTTTCAGCTTTGTGGGCTTGTGCAAGCTGCACCACTTCTCTGTGCCTCAGTCGCCTTCTCCGTAAAGTTAGGATGATAATAGAGCCCATCTCATAACACTCTGACAAGGGCTAAAACAGTTAATATATCTAACATCTAGAATAGTTCTTGATATGTACTAGGTTTTCTCCTTGGATATTTGTTGTTATTTGCTACAACCTGGCAAAGATCAGACCCCAAAGGAATAATAGCTACTTTTTAAAAATAGTAGGATGTGCATTGGAACCGAATCATTTTCTGAGTGCAAAAAAGAAAAAAAAAATAGTAGGATGGGCCAAGCAGAGTGGCTCATGCCTCTAATCCCAGCATTCTGGAAGGCTGAGATGGGTAGATTGCTTGAGCTCAAGAGTTCAAGACCATCTTGGGCCATATGGAAACACCCCGTCTCTACAAAAAAATACAAAAATTAGCCAGGTGGTGCACACCTGTAGTCTCAACTACTTGGGAGGCTGAGGCGGAGGTTGCAGTGAGCCATAATCAAGCCACTGCATTCCAGCCTGGGTGATAGAGACAGACCCCGTCTCCAAAAACTAAAAATAAATAAATAAAATAAAAATATGATGTGAAGTCCTTAAAATGACCTATCAGGTGCCAATTAATCCACAAGTAGATAAAGAAAATGTGGTATATAAATAGATGGAATACTACTCAGCCATAAAAAGGAATGAATTAATGGCATTCACAGGAACCTGAATGGAATTGGAGACTATTATTCTAAGTGAAGCAACTCAGGAATGGAAAACCAAATATCATATGTTCTCACTCAGAAGTGGGAGCTAAGCTATGAGGATGCAAAGGCATAAGAATGATACAATGGACTTTGGGGACTTGGGGAGAAAGGGAGGGAAGGGGGTAAGGGATAAAGGCTACAAACTGGGTTCAGTGTTTACTGCTTGGGTGATGAGTGCACAAAAATCCCACAAACCACCACTAAAGAATTTACTCATATAACCAAATATAACCTGTTCCCCAAAAACCTATGGAAAAAAAATGATCTATTAAGAAAAAAAAATAGTAACATGTATTACTGAGTTTTGCTATCATGTGGTTTTTTTTAAGATACTTTTTTGAAAGTGTATTGGTTATTTATTGTTGCTGTAGCATATTTTCATAAATCCAGTGGTTTAAACAACACAAATATATTCTCTTCCAGTACTTAAGATTAGAAGTCTAAAATGGGTCTCACTGGGCTAATACCAAGGTGTTGGCAGGGCACTTCCTTTCTAGGACCTTTCAGGGAGAATCCATTTTCTTGACTTTTCTGGATCCTAGAGACTGCCCACATTCCTTTGCTGCTGGTGCCATGCCATTGTCAAAGCCAGCAATGGCCAGTCAAGATTTCTTACATCACTCTGATGCCGAATCTTCTACCTCCTTCTCCCATATTTCAAGACTCCTGTGATTTCACTGGACTCATCCTGATCATCCAGGATAGTCTCCCTATTTTAAGGTCAGCTGATTAGCAAACTCAGTTCATCTCCAACCCTGATTCCTCTTTGCCATGCAATGAAACATATTCACAGGTTCCAGAGATTAGGACATAGACACTTTGGGGGGCCATTGTTTTGCCTGATGCAGAGGGGAATAACATCTGTCTTAGAAGCTGGAATGATTAATATAGTCTGCATGGTAAAGGGAGAAGAGTTTTGGAGTAAGCAAATGAGAGGTCTGAGTTCAAGGCTGTGTTTGGCTATTAGCTAATTTTATAATCTTAAGAAATGTTAAGTCACTTTATCTCTTTGGACCTCTATGCAATAAGAGTTGATGTTATATGACCTATGACTCCATCAAATTAAAAATAAAGGGCAAAAGTCACAGGATTGTTCAACAAGGCATCAAGATACTCCTCTGCAGAGGATAGCTCTAAATTTAGTTTTTAAATGAGTCTACCTTTACCTGCCCTACTCAGCCCTACTTGGCTTTTCTCCTTTTCACTGTGTAAAAACCATGCATCCTCACAACTTCTGGATATTGGGAGAGGTGCAGTATTTTTGAGGCAAGATGTGTGAACTGTTTTATCTATGCACACCAACATTCGCTCCCACATGGGAGAAACTGTTTCTATGGTGTTCTTTCTTCCTTCCTTCCTTCCTTCCTTCCTTCCTTCCTTCCTTCCTTCCTTCCTTCCTTCTCTCTCTCTCTCTCTTCTCTCTCTCTCTCTTTCTCTCTCTCTCTTCTTCTTCTTTCTTTCTCTCTCTTCTTCTTTCTTTCTTTCTTTCTTTCTTTCTTTCTTTCTTTCTTTCTTTCTTTCTTTCTTTCTTTCTTTCTTTCTTTCTTTCTTTCTTTCTTTCTTTTTTGAGACAAGTCTCACTCAGTCACCAGGCACCAGGCTGGAGTGCAGTGGCACGACCTCAGTTCACTGCAACCTCCACCTCCCGGGTTCAAGCAATTTTCCTGCCTCAGCATCCCAAGTAGCTGGGACTACAGGCACATGCCACCACGCCCAGCTAAGTTTTTTGTATTTTTAGTAGAGCCAGGTTTCACCATGTTGGCCAGGATGGTCTCGATCTCTTGATCTCGTGATCCACCCGCCTCGGCCTCCCAAGTGCTGAGATTACAGGCGTGAGCCACCACGCCCGGCCTCTATGGTGTTCTTTCTTAAACATGATTTCCTTTATTCCTATAGGTGGACACAAGTAATATTTTAAAATAAAATCTGATTCTATTGCAGCTATAATTAGAAACCATTTACTTGAAAGTTCTTCTTTTTGAAAATGGAGAGGAATACCTTATCCTTCCCATGACTTTCTGAATTCTTGAAAACCACTAGATCATCCCTTGTTCTCCTTCACAAGCCTTACTTTTCAATCCTTGAATCATATTTGTTGCAAACCTAAGAAACTACTTTTAACCCTTTGGGAGGGACTGTTGTTAATGAAAATGGAGGCATTAGGGCAGATATAAAGCCAAGAAATCCTATCATTCATTATGCTAAGCACATTAATAGAGTTTATTCTTGTACTGAAGATCCTGGAAAAAGAGATAAAAGAGACATTTCTTTATTTTTTAAATTCATTATTAAGCAGAAAAGAATCCATCTTAACTACTACAACTATTTATAGTCTCAGAAGTAGCTTGGTAACAGAAAATAATCCTGCCTGAACTAACAAATAAGCACTATAAATTCAAGCCTCAGTTATGTCATTAGCTGTGCGGCCATGGACAAGTCACTTGACCTCTGTAAACTTTCATTTCTTAGTGTTCATTCACTGGACTGCAAGAGAATAACGGTCCAACAAAGAGTAACAAAGAAAACATGACAGGGTAAAGAACACATTAAGAAGAAACCTATAAACCATTTTAAGAAGTGTTGAATTTCAAACACCACAAATTTAAACAAAATTCCCTCAACAGGGAATCGATGGCCCAGCCATTTGATTTATTCTGTCAACCCACCCAGGAATGCTAGCAGCTTAGGAAACGGTGATGATGAAAAGAAAACAAAAAAAGTTTGTAAAATTTGTTACTTTTTGGGAAACAAGTGAATATCTATTGTTTTGGGGGGGATTTTCTTGCTGTTGTTGTTGAGACAGAGTCTTGCTCTATCCTCCGGGCTGAAGTACAGTGGCACTATCTTGGCTCACTGCAACCTCTGCCTCCCGGGTTCAAACTATTCTCCTGCCTCAGCCTACCAAGTAGCTGGGGTTATAGGCATCTGCCATCGCACCCGGCTAATTTTTGTATTTTTAGTAGAGCCGGGGTTTCACCATCTTGGCCAGGCTGGTCTTGAACTCCTGACCTCATGGTCCACCTACCTCAGCCTCCCAAAGTGCTGGTATTACAGTCGTGAGCCACCGCGCTCAGCTGTGTTTTTTTATTTCATAATCAAACTTGTTTTCAATTTCAGGTTTCTATGAAACAAATGAAGACAACACTAAATATTGAGTTAGTTCAATTGAGCTTGACGCTATTGAGGGCTCAAGCAGAGGTTTATTTCCTCAAAAAGCAATCAACATTCTCCCTCTTGCACTACCAAAGTCTGCACCCTAACTAGGTAGTCACCTCAGAAACCTTAGTTTGGTAACCAGAGCACAGAGTAAGGGAGTATGAGACCATCATACCTCTAGTGGAAAAACAACTCAAACATGCCTGAGTGACAGACAACAGCCACAAACCGTGTCTCTTTTCCTTGTGAAAAATAGCCCATCTCCGTGCTTTGGCTGACTATTGAACCTTGAGGCCAGCCTCTGGTTCCAAACAGAAAGCAATGCAGATCTCAGTGTCATTCCAATCTAGTCTGTTTCCAGTTTCCACAGATGTTTTTAGCTGGTGGTAGGCTGTTGCCTTCAGGAGTTTGTCATTTACAGAATCTTAGAAAGTGGGTACGAGTGTTCCTTGCCCTCTTCCCAGGCAGGAACAGCTGTGTCATAGTAAATCCATCAGGCATTAACTGCTTCTTGTCCCAGACCTCCTGGGGTTGGCCTATCTTTCTAAGCCAATTTGAACCTCTCTTCTCTTTGTTCCCCCTTGGCTATCTATGACAAGGGGATGGCTCTTAGAGCTGTGTGGTCCAGGAGGGATATTTTGGGCTAATAACACCCATTGTGCTTGGAAACTTAACATTTGTATGGTACCACAATAAAGTTCCTGAGTAGAATTTGCTTGTCTGTGCTAAAAACTTCAGTAGACCATTGACAGGAGCCAAAGCCTTCAGTGAAGAGAGAGGGTAGAGTCTTATAGATGGGATGGGGCAGGAAGTAATAAAGTGTCTAGATGCGGGACTGACTTACCTTTATTGCCGAAGGTGTGATCTTGAAAGATTTGAAGGCGGAAATCAAGAAATTAATGTCGTATTGTCACTTTTCATTCCACAGCAAAATACATCTTCTCCTGATTTTTCTGATAGAATGATTCATTAACAAAAACTCTGCATTAAAAAAAGAAACACTTTCTTTAAAGTGTCTTGTGAAAAGGTATTGCTTATTATGCTATTTAGATTTGATTTCCTAGGGTGGAAATATTTGGCTGTCTTAACAACAGTGTATCAAGTATACAGACACAGAGCCAGTGACCCAGCTCCTTAAATAAATGATTTAAGTAGAAGTAACTCTCCACCTTCAGGACATAAAATCTGTTTTTGTTTCTGTTTTGTATACTAATATCAGCAAAGCCTTTCCATTTCTCTTTGCATTTGGAAATTTTTGGTTAAATTTTATTAGGTGGCTCTCTTTTAATGTATAAGTTTTTATATAATGTTGGATTAAGTTGATTATTCAGAATGCTTAAATTATAGTTGAACAGCTATTAAAATTTGTAATTATTAGATTCACTTAGGCAAAAAATACTTTCTGCCTCTACACCCACCCCCTGCTTTTTTTGAGACTGAGTCTCGCTCTGTTGCCTAGGCTGGAGTGCAGTGGCGTGATCTCAGCTCACTGCAACCTCCACCTCCCAAGTTCAAGCAATTCTCCTGCCTCAGCCTCCCAAGCAGCTGGGATTACAGGCACCCCCCACTACGCTGGCTAATTTTGTATTTTTAGTAGAGATGGGGTTTCACCATGTTGGTCAGGCTGGTCTTGAACTCCTGGCCTCAAGTGTTCCACCTACCTTGGCCTCCCAAAGTGCTGGGATTACAAGAGTGAGCCACACACCCAGCCCTCAGCTCTTTTTAATAGAATCTTCAAAAATATAGCAGCTGGGGGTGGTGCATCACACCTCTAATCCCAGCACTTTGGGAGGCTGAGGCGAGTGGATCCCTAGAAGCTAGGAGTTTGAAACAAGGTTGGCCAACATGGTGAAACCCCGTCTCTACTAGAAATACAAAAATTAGCTGGAGCACAGGCCTGTAATCCCAGCTACTCAGGCAGCTGAGACACAAGAATCGCTTGAACCCGGGAGGCAGATGCTGCAGTTAGCTGAGATCACAACACTGCATTCCAGCCTGGGGGACAGAGGGAGACACCATATAAAAAACAAAAACAAAAACAAACAAACAAAGTATATTATTGCCCATATTAAACATCTTGTAGGGTACTGAGATCAAGATTCTGGATATGTTTGGATATTGTACAGCTATGGACTGAAGATTAGAATGAATATGTACCGACCTTAGAACTTGCCTTTGTAACTATTACTTTTTATTAAATGACCGATACTGCATTTTTTTATGATTTCCTTATTTTTCCCAAAAGCCAAGTGTAAAAGCTAATTGCAGTTAATTTATGGTTTCATTTAATTAAGTTCCACTTAAATAAGATTTTACTGTAACATGGTCAATTGTGTTATGAATATGAGATTTATTTGGGGCAATGTTAGCACTTACAGGCTGGAAGAAACCTAATGTCTTTAAAACTTGAAAGAAGAGCCTTCCTAGAACTTATTTTCTATATGCCACACAGGTCTGCCTCTTTCTTGTGAAAACTAATTCCAAGCATCTCTTTTTATCTCTAAGAACTCCAGCTCTGATTGTGTCCTTGCTTTGGTGACACCCTGCTGGCTCCTTTCTGTTGCTCAGAATTCGTCAAAAGAATGTGCAAGATCCTGATGAACTCAGTGTCCCTTAGCCATCGCTAGGTCAAGCCTTCCTCTCTGAAGAGTCCTTCTCATCCTTATGCTTGCTTCCAGAGTTGGTGGGGTTGGCTTTGGAACAGGACTTAATTTTACCTCCTGTGCTCAATTGCTTTCTTTCTTTTAAATAATGAAAAGCCAGCAAAGAATAGCTTAATGCATAAGGAAAAATGAATTTAGGGAAATTATTCATCTGACTGTAAATAATAGCTTCATGGATATGAAGTAGCTAATTCTCGACAATATTAGAAGCTCTCTCAATAAAAGCAAGAGAAAGCAAAGATCCTAGAAATTTCTTTGTCATGCTTAAAAGTCCTCTGTCCCCCCATCCCCACAACTCCCTGGTTTTTTTAGAAGGGATATTTGTTCTCTCTTATAATCTGGAAATATATGTGCCTAATTGAAATAAGATGTACTCTTTAAATGATAAAAATAAAAAGTGATCAAAATAGATTTCTGTTATCCTTGGGGCATTGGGAGTTTAAATGCAAACTGCATGGCTTGCAGTGTGGGGAATTAATTATTGGTAATTGAAGTTGTAAGCTTAATTCCCTGCTTGCTTCAATGAAAATGAATCCTTTTATTTAATATTGAAATAAGCACCACTAACCTCATGATCTGGGACAGCACATGCTCTCAGCTTTTGAGCAACAGTGAATGTTTAAACAGCTTTATCTTTTTAACACTGAATTGTGATTAAAACAAAATAAAACAAAAACACGGGGGTTGAGGGAGGGCATAAATACATTAGCAAATAACATAATAGATGGTATTTGGGTACTCTTAATAAATCTTGTTCTCATTCACCAGTTAGAGACTTTATTTTGCATTCAAATAAAAGTCTAAACCGTTTAAAAATGCATTTATACTTTTTGAAAACTTGTCCTGAGTAAAATGTTTCCATTGGCTTGTTTCGTCGTGTTGAAGCTGGGTGACTGTTCAAACTGCTGGGCAGGTAAATTTCTCTGCCCTGTGTGTCCGCTGTGAGGAGTTCTTGTCTTCCTGAAGAAGCATTCAGCTAATCATGATGTGGACTTTGCTTCCTGCCCAGTCCTCTCGTTCTCTCAGTCTGTGCCTGTCTCAAGGACCATCTCTGGATATTTACCCTGACTGTTCTGTGACTTAGGTCTGGCAGATTTCCAGGCCCCCCATCCTGTGCCTGCTTTTTGCCTAATGAACATCTCCTACTCCTCTCTCAGGACTCAGCTCAAACATTATACCTGAGATGAAGGCAAGTACCCCTCTCTTATATTCTTACCACAGGAAATCATGTTGCAATTACTTGATTCATGCTTGTCCGTTCTGCCAGAGCACAGGTTCCAAGAAAACCGGGGCAGTGTCTGCCTTGTTCACAGGTAGAGAGAGGTCCAGTAACCAGTTCAGAGCCTCGCACATTCAGAGGATCAAGAAGCATATTTGGGTGAGTGAATGAATAAATGAATGAATGGTGAATGAATGTTAAGGTTGATCTGAGAGACCCTTGGCAAAATTCCCAGTTTATAGTCCTGAAGCATCTGTAACTATTATAATACAATTAATAATTCCTTTTTCTCATTTTTAAATAGGAAATGAATGGGATTCGTGTTTTCTAACTTTCTGTTTATTGTACTTTATACTTAGTCCTCAGTCAAATTTCCTAGCAGACAATTCATCCATATTTCAGTAAATATCACCTGTAATTGTGTAATAAATAACACAAAAGTTAAGCTTGTTGTTTAATGTGTTTATTAGAGAAAAACCTAGATATTGAAATTCTGTCAAATGAAATAGTGTTGTTTTCACACACACTCAGTGGAACCTATCATTTCTGACCTAGGAGAGGTCTGTTCTTTAAGTAACCAGCTTCTGTGTCCATAAAGTTTGGTCATGGGTCATAGAAAATTCCTTTGGGTTAGCTCCAAGGGCCAAGTTTGCTCAGATTGCTCAAACTTTCAAAACTATTTTTCTCAAAAGCACAGGGCCTAAAAGAACACTTGTTTGATCTAAATATGGTTTCACATTGTCATGGACAAAAAGTAAAGGAGACAGAAGAATGCTTTGGTCTTTTTCTCAGTATCCTCAAACTTCTGTTTCGCTCGTTTTAAGATAAGCAAAAGTAGATCTAAATGGTTTTCTGGGTTAAGATCATAGACTAAACCACACATCTAATTTTGCTCCCCTGCAAAATTCCACTAAAACTTGAATAAAGTGATTTTCTTTAAAAGGCACAATTCACATGAAAAAGAATACAAAAATAAAAAAAAGAAGAAACTAAAAAAAAACTGGGAAAAAAAAAAAAAAGGCCAGGCGAGGTGGCTCATACTAATCCCAGCACTTTGTGAGTCAGAGGTGGGCAGATCACTTGAGGTCAGGAGCTCGAGACCAGCCTGGGCAACACAGTGAAACCCCATCTCTACTAAAAATACATAAATAAGCCAGGTATGGTGGCAGGCACCTGCAATCCCAGCTACTCAGGCAGATGGGGCAGGAGAATGGCTTGAACCCTACCATTGATGTAGAGGGCAGTGCCATATACCCCTACCACTGGTGTAGAGGGGAGTCCAAAATAATGAAGGAGCTAAAATAAAGATTGAGTGAAAGCTGTTCCATTGGGTTAAACCTCTATATCTTTACTCACATTGCCCTTTCCTCACCTGCTTATAATGATTTATTCTTAGGAGTAAGCACAGCAGAAGGCCTCTGAAATGTAGGACACAAGATACAATTAAAGATGTATCATCAGACCAAACACAGAGAGATTGCATGACTGAATGCATATGGAATGCTAAAACTTTTCATCTCTTCCTCCACTTGGCTTCCAGAATGTCAGAAGCCTGGTCATTTCCCTTTAATAAGAAGATTGGAATAATGTTTTCTGCCAAAAATGCCAAAGTAGGAGGAAAGCTTTTTTTGGTTTTTGTGTCATTATTTTCTTTTTTATTTTTTTTTTTGAGATGGAGTCTTCCTCTGTTGCCTAGGCTGGAGCACAGTGGCACAATCTCCACTCACTGTAGCTTCTGGCTCCCAGGTTCAAGCAATTCTCCTGCCTCAGCCTCTGGAGTAGCTGGGATTACAGGTGTACACCATGACACTTGGCTAATTTTTGTATTTTTAGTAGAGATGGGGTTTTGTCATGTTGGCCAGGCTGGTCTCGAACTTCTGGCCTCAAGTGGTCCACCCACCTGGGCCTCCCAGAGTGCTGGGATTACAGGCATGAGCCATTGTGCCCTGCCAGGAGGGAAGATTTTTTAAATATTGACATGAGAAGTTCACCAACAAAGAGCCTATCCAGATCACTTGACAGTGACACCCAAAATAAACAAGCTTCACAGAAGCACTCAGAGCAACCAATTAGTATTTAAATCCCTTGTTCTTAATCAT